TTTCATTTTTTTAACTGAAATATTACAAAATTAAATTAATAGCTACATCAATATCTTTACAGCGACTCGCGTTAAACATTCAAACTTTTAGAATATTTTTGTTACATAAAAGTGTATAAGATACATGCTTCTCTCAACTATAATAACAACTGTAATATATTAACGAAATCAAATACTTAGTTAATTCAATTCCAAACAAAAATTTATAACAATAAAATCTATAATGTCCAAATACTAATGCGAATTACTGTTCCTCCGCGTTATATAATGTGATGCATATCTTTATCTCCGACACGTGCTGCCATCTGGTGATCAATTGGAAAATTTCCAGATAATAGAAATAACCTAAGTGAAAAATAAAACAAAAATCGTTAAATAAAAAAAAACAGGCTCACATTTTCTTCTGATTCCAACTGCTACTGAGACTTCTGATAATTTCAATTAAACAGTCAATTAAGAATAATAATAGTAAATTTAACTTAAAGAAAAAATAGGAAACAGAAGAACAATTTTCATTCAAACAAAAATTGTAGACAATATCTTAGAAAATAATTTGTAGACAATAATTTAGTGTAGTTGAATTTATACTATTTATTTATAATAAAAGAAAGGATACGTCTGAATGAAGTTTCACAAGAAAATCGATTGTATTTCAATAAAAATTTCCACGTGAGAGTTGCCATTTTCCTTGTTGACAAAGAACTAACTTGTTGATTTCGGTGTTTTATCTCTGCCAGAGATTCTCTGGAATTAATTTGATCATTAACTAAACGCAGAATAGACACGAACGTCGTACCATTGATTAAAAATAAGATAGATCTGGACGGGATTTCTCAGAGTCTGAAATACCGACCGGGGAAAAAATCATTAGTTTCTTAGCGCGCTCTACTACGATGATTTAAAAAACTTGTACTTAAACTTTTTTGATACGCTATAAAATGGCTCAAAAAGTTTTTTTTTCTTTCATCATATGAAAATATGTTTCATATGGAATATTTGGAATATTATATATTCTTATCAAAAGATAAAAGATAATAAAAGATAGATACTATTTTAAATATTTGTGGATCTTATTGTGAAGCCAAGTTGTTTGTACTTATAAAGAGTAAAAAAATCCAGGACAAAGGAAGAACCGTTAGTGTCATGTCTCAGATACAGGAATAAAAGAATTTCTTTTTATTTTACCGCAGTCAGAATTTTATCGTAAGCAGAACATTGAAAAGAAATTTCTAAGACATATCAAGTATGATATTCTGAAGGCTTGAAAAAGATAAATATTACGCATAAGAATAAAGCAAGGAAGAAACCTCAAACATGTTGAAATAACATGCAGGAAAATTTTCAAGAAAATCTACATAATGTAAAAAAAACGAGCAACGTTTCAAGCGGAAATAGAGCAAAAATTTTAAAAATCATTTCGCTCGTCGTCGTAAAAAAAAGAAAAGAATAAAGTCGATTTTCTAAATTCTCAATGCTCATCGTAAAGAAAAAAATAAATAATTAAAAATTCCTCAAATTATGTATTTTCATTTTTGAGCTGCTACACTCAAATTTAATTTTGTGCAGACGCGTTAAATAGGATGTAATTCTATTTCCTGTAATTAATGATCATTTTAAATTAGAAGTGCATCTGTATTTGTGCGCGGATCTAATATCTATAATATCATCTCGTTCTGATGATTATCTCACGACTATATACGTATATCTGCCGTGTGTCTGCCTTCCCTGACGGCGTGCCTGTTTTACAGACTTTGGCTGACGAATTGCCACCAGTCAATTTGAAGCACGAGTCGTTTGATTGCTCGGATCTAGGCAGCATTAATTCGAAAATTATATTATGATTCGATGTCAACCGCTTCTGGAAACTTTAACCAAAACAGGTATTGATCGTGATCGAGCGTGGCGGTTGTTAGGACTCTTTATCAGTATGAAAAAATGGACGAACCGTTAACTTCAATCATAATATTCTGGATTTACTTCTGGAGTAGCTTCTTCATGCTAATAA